AGTGGGGGATCAGGGCCACTGTGGCTCCTTGGCTAATCACAGGCAGGGGCTTATCGTGACCTCTGCCATGATAAGCCTGTGAAAATGGTATCCAGCTCCGCATTCTGCCAGTAAAATTCTCCACCCACCTCCTCAATTTGGGCAGACCCCTGGGTATGAAGCAAAAATGACAACTGTTTTGCTTCATATTGTTGAGGCAACAAAATCTTAGTTTTGTATCAAAACTAGACAATGGGTGCATTTTTATTAATGCATCACAGTTATTGCACATTATGTTTAGTACTTGGTTAAATCAATGTGCAGTAACTCACACTACTATGTAGTAATGTTAGCACATGGGTTTTCAGTATTGCTTGTTGTGCAATAGCCTACTGCAGAGTAGCATATTAGCATGGTTTTTGCTCAGCACGCTATTGCAAAGTGTTATTAGGCTACTGTGTCGTTAGCATTTTATACAGAGGTGCCCAATATGTACTATTTATTCTCTCTCACAGATTGGGGGGGTGGCCAACTTGCAGCATGTGCCACAAGTGACATGGGCAACCTCTGTCTGGCATATGCCTGATTGAAGAGGGGAAAGGTTGTGCAGTGGATAATGGCACATAGGGTAGAAAGCAGAGGAGTAGATTAGGCAGGGGAAGGGGATAAGAGTTGTTCTGAGGAGCTAGGGACAGATGTTACACATAAACCTATAAAAGTGATCAGAAACTGGTTTATACCTGTAACAGAACACAAGTTCAGTGTACTTAAACTGCTTTCAAAATGGCTGAAACTGGTTTAAGATCAACCTGATTGGAGGTAGTATCCTAAATGATTTAGGTCAAACTGGTTTATAGAATTTCTGTCTCAGATCTCCTCTCGGTTCAAGTTAACTCACAGTCCCCCACCATCTCATAATGATTTGCAGCCCTGGGCTGGGCTATCCACTTCAGCAAGCAGGGTCTGCTCCACCCTCTGCTCTCTAGACAGAGCACTATATCACTCCTTCAGGTGGCTGAGTAGGAGGAGGCAGCCCAGCACCAGACCCCCAGCCGGGTGCTGCCAGAAGCAGGGAAAGGGAAAGGAGGAAACCCAATCCCCAGCCAGGCCTGGGGAGGGAAGGGGGAGTCTGTAGTGGGGGCTTAACTTTGCACCCCAGAGCTGGGAGCCACACTCCCTTCTCATTCTCTAGGCTGGCTGGGAGGAAGATAAAACCCTGCATCCAGGCTTGGCTCTGCTCTCAGAGCCTGCAGCTAAAAGCCATGCCTTGTTCTCAGCCTCCAGGCTAGCTGAGGGCAGCAGCTGGGGGAAAGCCTGCACCAGGGCTTGACTCTGCCCCTAGAACTGGGACCCAAGACCCCTTCTTAGCCTCCAGGCTGGCTTTGGGGAGGGGAGAGGCAGGGGAAGGAGATGCCTATACACAGAGCTGGGAGCCAGGAGCCATGCCCCCTTCTAAGCCCCGCAGCTGGCTGGAAGGAGATAGAGCTTGGCTCCATCCCCCAGAGTTGGGAGCAGGGCTGGAGTCCCCTAGCCATGTCTCCTTCTCAGCCTCTAGGGTAGCTGAGAGGGGGGTGTGGCTCCCAGCTCAGGGAGGGGGAGGTGAAGCTGGACTCGAGGGGATCGCCTTCAGACCTCAGGTTGGGGAGGACCGGGTTAGAGAGCTTCTGGAGGGGCTGGACGCGTTCAAGTCAGCGGGTCCAGATGCTCTCCACCCCAGGGTGTTGAGGGAGCTAGCTGGGGTTATTGCAGGACCCCTGGCACGGCTCTATGAGCGATCGTGGTGCTTGGGCCAGGTGCCAGATGATTGGAAGGTAGCAAATGTGGTCCCCATCTTCAAGAAAGGGAAGAGGGAGGACCCGGGCAACTATAGGCC